TACTAGATATTTTTCAAGACACTTCTATACAGCTTAAAGTGACATTTAAAGGCTTAACTAGGTTAATTAGGTTAACTAGGCAGGTTAGGGTAATTAGGTAAGTTATTGTATAACGATGGTTTGTTCTGTAGACTATCAAAAAAATATAGCTTAAAGGGGCTGATCATTTTGACCTTACAATGGTGTTTAAAAAAATTAAAACGTTTTATTCTAGCCTAAATAAAACAAATAAGAGTTTCTCCAGAAGACAAAATATTATCAGACATACTGTGAACATTTTTTGTTGCTCTGTTAAACATAATTTGGGAAATATTCGAAAAAGAAGAAAAAAAATCAAAGGGGGGCTGATAATTCTGGCTTCAACTGTACATTCAATTTGGACATTCTATTAATATTACATTATACTAAGTGTACTGCTCGTGTAACCCCGCCGGTCCTACGCCTCCCAACCATCTCCGAGCTGGGATCGAACCGGCACCCTTCCGCATGGGAGTCGGGTGCTCTACCAGGGAGGCTAAAGACCATGGCCTCTAGCATCTGTCGCTAGAGCACCTTTTAAAGGTCAGAGGAGTGAGGTTTACCTGAACAGCACACACTAGCTGGCCTCCGCTACACTCACCCCCCTAAACCTCACTCCCATCCGGGTCACGGCACCAATGTAACCCCGCCGGTTCTACACCACACAACCCCCTCCAAGCTGGTTTCGAACCGGCGACCTTCCGCATGGGAGTCAGTTGCTCTAACAAGGAGGCTAAAGACCATGGCCTCTAGCATCTGTCGCTAGAGCATGCCTCCGTTACACTCGAATGCACTGTACATCTCTTTACAACAAGACTGATAAATTGGAAATAGGACAAATTATGGTTAGATGTAGGGGCCATGTGAAAAGTGCACACACATAGCAACAATCATACACTCCCTTACAAAAGTCTTGCCTCCTATCCAAGTTTTAGGAACAACAAATAATAACTTGACTTCTAATGTATACGTATGCATGTATGTATATATATGTGTGTGTGTGAGAAAAAAAAAACTTTTTTCAGAAGCCAAAGTATGGCATAGCTGCAGGTTTCTATAGTGAACGGGTAAAGTACTTACATGTGCTTGCTGTTTGGCGGCATGCAGCAGTTTAATGGAATTAGAGACCCACGATTGTTGCGTATCTGCAAGTTATGTCAAAACAATTCTGTTTGTTTAAAAACGGAGCAGACAGTAAAGTAAAAAGTAGCAAGTGTCAAAATACCTTAAGTGTTATCTGAGAGGTGTCAAGCCTGAATGAAAGAGCTAGTGTCTATAATGAGAGAGAAGACTGATTTAATATGCAGGGAATTTCATTTTGAAAGAGACAGTTCTCCCAAATAAATCGTTTGTGAATTTCCTCTCCACAAAACTAGATATTCTGAAAGAGTGGTGGGGATAAGAAACAGCAATTGACATCCATATCAGGAACAAAAATATAATGGAAGTCAATGGCTGTTTTTCCAACATTCTTGCATTGTGTTCGACGTACAGAAGAAAGAAATTCATAAAAGTTTAGACCCACTTGACTGTGAGTAAATGGTGTTTTTATTTTTGGGTGAACGGTCCCTTCAACTTAATCAGGCTAAATAAATAAATAATATATATTTTTAATTGTAATTAAATGATGCACTTGTCTTATAGTTGTTGCTTTGGCCCCACTTGGAATGTGAACCTCCCGAAGAGCTGTGATCCTGTTATCTGTCAGAAACAATCATTCAACTTGAAATTAAATGAGATAGTATTGTGATAAATACATGTCTTACAATATAACATTTCCTTTACAACACTGATATTAAAATAAACAGGTAAAAGATATTTTAAGATCTAATAGGGTATATGCCGAGCTAGTGCTGTTCCCATGCTGATACACTTCCGGTGACCTGTTATTGTGAACTTTTTCTCATTTTATACGGTTCCTTATACAGCATCGATGTTGTAATGTCAATAAAACACATTCAGTTAAATAAACTTTAGCATTTATTTAGTTGCTCAAGCGTAAAACGAGACAAAAAGCTGTTTACTCGCACTCGCCCGTCAGAATTGGCAGGCTAACGCAGAAGCTCCATTGAATATACTGGGGTAAAATAAATGCTCATATAATAAAGATATGGCGGGGGAAATGTCATTTAATGCAGTGCTTCTTGTACAATCTGAGACCCACTTTAAATCGGATAACACTCAGCTAGTGGAGATCGCTGATATTTAAAGAAAACAGACCTTAAACGCACCGGGATTTTGCATTGATACCCCATTCAGACTAAAACACGGTCAAGGTGCAAGCATTTAGTCTTTAAAAAAGTTTGAACCTCAGCAGATATTCTGACTCTGATGAGACTAAAATTGAACTCTTTGTAGTGAATGCCAGGGGTTACGTTTGGAAAAAAACAGGCAGCGCTCATCACCAGGCTAATACCATCCCTACAGCATCATGCTGTGTGGATGTTGTTCAGCAGCAGGAACTGGAAGACTAGTCAGGATAGAGGGAAAGATGAATGCAGCAATGTACAGAGACATCCTGAATGAAAACCTGCTTCAGAGTGCTCTTGACCTCAGACTGGGGTGACGGTTCATCTTCCAGCAGGACAATGACCCAAAGCACATCGCCAAAATGTCAATGGAGTGGCTTCACAACAACTTTGTGAATGTGCTTAAGTGGCCCAGCCAGAGCCCAGACCTAAATACAATTAAACATCTCTATAGAAATCAGAAAATGGCCGTACACTGTCGCTTCCCATCCAAGCTGATAGAGCTTGAGAGGTACTGCAAAGAGGAATGGGCAAAAATTCCCATTGACAGGTGTGCCAAGCTTCTGGCATCATATTCAAAAAGACTTGAGGCTGTAATCGCTGCCAAAGGTGCAACAACGAAGTATTGAGCAAAGGCTGTGAATACTGAAGCACATGTGATTTTTCAGGTGTTTTTGTTTTTAATAAATTTGCAACAGTTTCAAAAAATCTTTTTTTACATTGTCATTATGGGGGATTGTGTGTAGAATGTTGAGGAAATAAATGAATTTAATCCATTTTGCAATAAGGCTGTAACATTAACAAATGTGGAAAAAGTGAAGCGCTCTAAATACTTTCCGGATGCACTGTACATTGCATATATTTTTATCGTGACGATGATATTTTTTGATATATTTTACAGCCCTATTCATTATCACCGAATACACCATTCTTCAGTTTTGTCATGGTAACCAGCTGCTGTCTTGTGCTGTCTGATTTTCTGTTTATCCATCACAATCTATCTTAAAACAGAATTATAATATATTATATAGCACAAATAACAATATTTTATCCTGATGTAAAACTAACAAAGGTAACAGACAAAACAGGTTTTACAAAATAAATTTGCTTATGTTGCCATGGCAACCAGGATGCTAAGCTGCGGTGAAATAGTTTACTAAATGTAACTAAATGCAGTTCGAACAGGTTATTATAAAGTAAAAACAGACCCACCATTGAGATCAAGCCTCTTGAGGGCAATCCAAACCGTGCAAAGGAGGTTTTCAGTCATAATAAAGGCCAGTTGAGCATCCACATGCACCTCTCGGTCTAGAAATCTCTAGGGGGAGAGCTTACTCCAATGGCACACAAGCCAGTGTGTAAAATACGAAACGTGAAATATTATCATAATAAAAGTCCTGACAAATTATGTTTTTTAATACAATAATTTTATGACGAGAGTCCCAGAACAAGAAATCGATTACAAAGCACATCGTGAACAACAGCAAAATTAAGATTATTCACGTTTAGAAGTTTTGTTCCGACAAGGTTTTATTTTAGGGATTTGTACAAAGCTCATCATACAAAAATTAACCATGTTTTTATAAGCCTACAGCAGGGGTGTCCAAACTTGGTGCTGGAGGGCTGGTGTCCTTGAGAGTTTAGCTCCAACACTAATCAAACACACCTGAATCAGCTAATTAAGGTCTTACTCAATGGTCTTACTATATACTAGAAACTTCCTGGCAGGTGTGTTGAAGCAAGTTGGAGCTAAACTCAGGATACCGGCCCTCCAGGACTGAGTTTGTACACCCCTAGCCTACAGTAAAGTAGTGTTAAAATAAACAAATACCATGGTTAAAGAAAGCAAATATAAAATGAGTACTCACAAGTTGAAAAGTGGGCGACACAGTAATTAGCACTGTTGACTTACAGCAAGAAGGTCACTGGTTTGAGCCTCGGCTTGGTCAGTTGGCATTTCTGTGTGGAGTTTGCATGTTCTCCCCCTGTTGGTGTGGGTTTCCTATAGGTGAATTTGATTAACTAAATTGGCCGTAGTGTATGTGTTTGAATGTAAGAGTGTGTGGGTGTTTCCCGGTGTTGGGTTAATAATAATATAATAATAATAATAATAATAAAGGGAGTAAGCCAAAAAGAAAATGGATGAATGAATGAATGAATGAATGAATGAATGGCCAAAGTGTACGTGTGTGGAAGAGTGTGTATGGATGTTTTTCAGTACTGGGTTGCGTTTGGAAGGACATCCGCTGTGTTAAACATCAAACATGGGGAGAACATGCAAACTTCACACAGAAATGCCCAGGGATTCGAACCAGCAACCTTCTTGCTGTGAGGCGACAGTGCTAACCACCGAGCCACTTTGAACTAAAATTCATAGTTGTGCTTGTAAACATTATTGCAGTTAACGCGAACTAACAATGAACAACCTTATTTTTATTTACTAGCATTAATAAAGATGCATAAATACTTTGCATAGAATTTGTTTATGCTAGTAAATCACCTGACCAATTTATTTTAATTTTATTTATCGACCGCTAAACCTGCTGTAAGCTGTTTTTAAAATGCCTAGTTAATATATTTGCGCAGTTAAAGACTTTTATTTTGGAAAAAACGACCTTGTTGTCACCGAGGTGAACGCGTTTCTCTTCGTTTCTATCTTCACGCGACGGTGTTGTCGGGAGCGCGCGCGCGTGGGTCTCTTGCATATGAACTGCGCTGGCTTTGGGATGTGTTGAATCGATTTGACGTTTGCTGGATCAGTCTATTTCCCCCCCCTATGTGTTCGTGAACTTATCAGTGAAACGGAAGGAATAGAGAGAAGGTCGACCCAACAACAAAATGAATGAGCCCGAGGGACTGCGGTTCAGGAGGTTGAACAGACCTCACATAATCACAGACGAAACCCACGAACCCCAGTATAAAGCCACAAGGTGAGACACTTTCCATTGCTCTGGCCCACACACTTAGTCATTTATTAATTAACATTTCTCGATGGTCGGTTTAATTGATGTGGAATAAGCATGACTTCTGTCTATTTCTCTCTGTGTGTGTTTGTGTGTGTTGCAGCACTTACAGTGGGAAGGTGTTCCGTGTGACGTTACTGACCATGGTGGCTTTTCTTCTCCTCCCTCTGCTGGTGGTCGTTTTTGTGCTGGAGTCTCCCATCCAGCCGGAGGTCTTCAGGTGAGTTTAAAGGGGTTGTTCACCCAAAAACGAACATATAGGAAAAACAAATACTAAGGAAGTCATTGGTTATAGGGGTTATTAAAGGGTCACAAAACACATTTTCGAGATGTTGGCAGCCATATTCCACGCTGCTAAATCAATATTAGGACACATATAATTCACAATAAAGTGAAAATTGGTTGGTTTTGCGTTATTTTGAGCAAATTCGTTTTTCCGGTTTGAAAATAAATTTTGAAGCTGTCACGGCGATGAGATCCTTGTGTGAATTCTAGTATGCAGACTGGCTGTCTGTACCGACCGGTACAACATGACTTCTTTAAAGGGCCATGAAACCCGCTCGTTTCAGCAGGGTGATTTCACACCTTTACTTTGGAAAAAGTCAGAAAAGTGGGCGTGTCCAGCTCTGTTTAGGGGGGAGTGTCAGAGGAACTAAAGTGGGAGGGTGTGGGAGTGTCTGTTTGGGCACGCGCGAGTTTCAGTCAAAATACACACACATGAGAAAGTGATGGTGTTTAACCTACATGGACATGTGTAGTCGAATTATTTGCCAAATTATTAAATGTTGGACTTTAACTGCAGTTTGGCTCTTTCATTCAGGGAATTCATTTATGCCCCTCGCGACAAACGCGATATTTGATTCGAGGAACTGCTCTAAGCGTGTATTTTTCATGCAATGTTTGATACCGCACGGCGAATGAGAGAAAAAACCGTCCGCATTTCCCGGAAACTTAAATGCACACGGCAGGTAGCGTCAGAAAGCCGCGTGTGTTATTTCGGTCACAAAATGCGGTGCTATGTTTGCACTCAGTGCAATAGTTAACTTTATTCGATACGAACAAACTGAATAAACAAAGAGCACTGGTCGCTCACTTACCAAATCTGTAGAGACAGGACAATCACCAGCAACTAGAGCCGCGTCTTTATGAAGAGGAGACTAACGTTACAAGCGAATCCGGATTTCAACGTTTGCAGATGAGAACATCTCTCAGGTAAACAATAATCCTCCTTAGACACTTAAGTTATTGTTGTTAAGCGTCGCGTACACTGTTAATCCACACGTGATCCAGCTGAGCTCTCACAGAGAGAAAATGAAAACAAAACTTAATGGCAGCAAACTATAAAAGCAACACTTCACGCTTGTTTTGCCAACACAACGTGGCGTCTCTGTGGCGTACACACGGTGACATTAATGAATATTAATGAAGTTGCACAATAGAGCGCGCTGATTGGTTTGAACCAAGCCTTACTCATGCATTAATGCATCACACTGTAAGACGTAATAAGACACACTCTGGCACAGACGTCCAGTCTGCACGCTGGAATACAACTCTATTATGTCATGGCCGTGACGCAGCTTCAAAAATTTGTTTCAAACGGAAGTACGAATTTGCTTAAAATAACGCAAAAACAACCAATTTACACTTTTTAGTGAAATATAGGTGTCCTAACAGTGTTTTTAGCAGTGTGGGACACATATACGACTGTCAAGAGCTCAAAAAATGTGTTTTGGTGTTTCGTGACCCTTTAAGCTTTCATGATTAATTAAAGAGAAAGACTTCGAACCAATCAGCGCGCTCTATTGTGTATGCAGTGCAAACTTCATTAATATGCATGACATCTTTGAAGTTTTTACCCGTTAAGCCTCCTTTCCACTGCACACGACAAACAACTTGGAAAGACCGGAAGTCATTCATTTCTAATGGAGAGTAGTCTGGGAGCTGCGTGGAGTTCTGATCATCTCTGTATGCGGAAAATTCGGATTCGATTTGAGCTGCGGATCCGTTGAAATATTTGAACTGTTGCGACTAGACCGTATGCAACCGTCCGACTGGATGTGATGTGTTCCAGTGTTGTACAAGCAAGTACGTGTGCGCGAGATGAGAAATAGAACTTTATTTGGTAATTTTTTTTAATCAGAAAAAGTCTTTATTAAAAAAAAAAACATTTCTATTTATAAATGTAAGTAAAAAAGTAATAAAGATATAATGTTTTATGTTGTCTCCACATTCCCACCAATATTTTTAGCGGTCTGAGTTTCGAGTATTCATTCATTTGTTCATTCAACTTCGGAGAATTGCTTTTGCACTCTTTTATTTCGGACACTGCGAGAACAGCTTTTCTCCCATGGTGCACGTCAGAACTGAAAATTCTGTGCGACTGCCACTAGGGGGCGTATTCAGACAGTCATATCCAAATGTCATGTGCAGTGGAAAGGTGACTTTAAAGACGGCAGAGAGACGCCACGTTGTGTTGCCCACCGTAATTAAAACTAGAGGAAGAATTGTTTGGAGACACGAGTCGTCAGTGTTGCGTTTATAAATGTGCCGCAACTAAGGTTTTGTTTCCATTTCCCAGCTCTGAGAGAGCAGCTGGACTCGTGTGTGGATTACAGTGGTCTGCTAACATGCAACAAAATTATATTTGTAAGGAATTTTTTTTACCCGAGAGCTTTTCTCATCTGGAAATGGTGAAATCCCGATCCCTGATCCCTGATCTCGTCTTCATTTAAAAAACGACACGGTTCCAGTTGGTGTTGATTGCTCTGTCTCTACAGATTTGATAAGTGTGTGATCAGTGTCCTTTGTTTGTTTATTCAGATGGCAAAGTTTGTTTGTATCTTCAGCAGTGCTCTTTCAGTTTTTAAGGAAAGACCTTAGTCAAAATGATTTAGTTACTAAGTTTACAGTACGTTAATGTCACTACAATATTATGGACTGAAAGATCCGCTGTAAATGCTGCTCTCCAAATGTAAACAAGTAAAAACCTTAATCAAACTATTACCGTCGTGTACGAACTAACAAGTTGAAAAATGGGCGACACAGTATTTAGCATTTGCCTCACAGCAAGAAGGTCGCTGGTTCAAGCCTTGGCTGGGTCAGTTGGCATTTCTGTGTGGAGTTTGCATGTTCTCCCCGAGTTCGTGTGGGCTTCCTCCGGGTGCTCAGTTTCCCCCTCAAATCCAAAGACATATAGGTGAATTGAGTGAGCTAAATTGTCTGTAGTGTATGTGTGTGAATGAGTGTGTATGGATTTTTCCCAGTGATGGAACGGGATGGTAGCTGGAACGGCATCCGTTGCGTAAAACATATGCTTGATTAGTTGGCGGTTCATTCCGCTGTGGCGACCCTTGATTAATAAAGGGACTAAGCCAAAAAGAAAACGAATGAACGAATGAAAGAATGAATGCATCCATATGATTGCTTTTATCTTTCACGTGATGAACAAATGACTCAAACTGAAGACTCAAGAAATTAATGGATCAAATATTTTTCCGGCTCAAAATGCATATGATTGGCTTCTGTCTTTCACGTGATGAACGAACAACTCAAACTCGATAGTGGACTTGAAAAATGAACCAATTTTCTTGTCCAACTGCACAAATGTACGCATGTGCGAATGAATGAATCACTCCCTGAGAGGACTCGTTGTTCTTGAGTCTCATAAAAGATTTGTTCAAAATGAACGTATCATTCAAGAACAAACCATCACCAATAGTGAGTCAATATTCATAATGAAGCACAAATCCAAACGTACCATAGTCAGTTTTACTATGCATGAGGGTTTTTAATAGTGCTTCCTTGTTATTAAAGAGATTTGTTTCAGTTATTTTGAATGGAAGTTCCCTAAACCAGAAGTGTAACCCATAACTCTAAACTCCATAGCTGCGTAGTAGGCATATTTTAATAGTTACTCTTATCTTTGATTCATTTAGGAGAAAAGCAAACACGTCAGGATATTGCACATGAATGCTGGATGTTGCGTAAGTTAGTGTGTGAAATGAACAATGTGCACTGGGTTATAGAGGGAATACAGTTAAGACATTGTGTCATGCAACGTTGCTCACATGTATTGAATCATAGTAATTGGTCTTACTGTGTGTTCTCTTGCTATATGCCAGTTGTATATTTTATTGCGAAATCCCCAAAATACCTTCCTGTGAAATGTTGCAATCCAAAAGAAGACTCGTTTCTGAAAGTATGCTACCTTTAGGGTGTGGCAGGTTTGGTCTTTTTAAAGGGTCAGCCTCAGCCCGTCCACATGAACACAGGTGTTTTCAAAACTGCATTTTTTTTGTCCACATAAAAATTCAGTGTCAGTTGATTGAAACTCAAGCTTTCTCAAAACTCTGGCCAGGGTGAAGATTTTCATGTTTTTTTTCTCCTTACTGATTGGTCAACATAGCTGGGTTGATGGCAAATGCAGAAGATGCAATTAAGGTGAACTTGTGTTCGCAACACACATTCTGTCATTCACACTGGAGGTCTGCAAATCTGGACCCGAGCAGGGGTGCATTTCCGAAAACCATCGTTAGCCAACTAAGATCACAAGTTCCATCATTACAAACATAGTTAGCTGATTTTCCGTTTCCCAAATCTGTTGTTCCTACAAACATTTGCAAACTGCGTCGCAAACTTGTGCACTTGCAACTACACCTCTATAGCTGTAGTTAGAAACATAGTTTCTGGCTGTGTTCTATTTCCAGTTATCACTCCTATGACCTATTCATTTAGACAATTCTTACATTTAAACTTGGAATAAAAAAAAGCATTAAAGTCTTCTCTCTTAGTGTAATTTGCTTTCAAAGCATTTTTACATTTTATAATTTAGGTTACGTCTCCAAAGCTAGTATATTTTGTACAGTCATTGCTCCAAAGTTTGTGAAAACAAAAAACATAGCATACGTTAATGCTTTTTATTTTATAGTAGGTTATTTATGAAGAAATGTAGCCTACTGTATGACATGGGCCTGCTGGTTAGAACATTTCTGCAGTGATTTGCATATGTCAAATTGTAAAAGTAGACTTTAAAAAAAAGAAATTAATTAATTAACATTTTCCTACTTATTATTAATAATAATAATCATCATTATCATCATCATTATTAATTTTATTATTGAAGTAAATTTTCCTAATAAATAATAAATATTACATTTCATTTCTAATTAAATTGCCTCATTAATTTTTTATTTATATGATTTATATATGATAGTAGAATACGTGTTGGCTTTGGTAAGTGATTTTATGTTTTAGAATAGAAAATGTAATGTTCTCAATAATATTTGTAAAGGAAACCCAGGCCCTATATGTGCTATTTACATATATTTAAATTAATATGGTAAACGAGTGCATGTTTTTATTGAAAATAATATTGGATTTTTTTTAATGTGTGTGCGTGTAAAACAATATCATTTGTATAAAGAAATTATGGGGTTCTTCTCTAAAGAAGTTGTTACTCCACCCCATTTAAAGCATCATTATGGGTGTTTTACCTTAGAACTACGTTACTACGGGTTTTGGAAAACACTCGTCACTACATCGTCTGACTGATTTCTGTGAGAATCTGGGGTCCTTGTGGGTTCCAATAGGTCTTTTGCAGTATTTGTGATGATTGGGATGCATCATCAACAGATGATTCACTGGAATAATCTGCTTTTACTACTACTAGGATGGATGACAAGACTTTTGTCAGGAGGTATATTTCTGTGTTTCACAGAAAGAAAATCATGGAATACAGTAGGACTTCAGTGTTCTGAATGGAAAACCTCTTTCATAATTCTTTATGTTTTTGTTTCTGATCTGCTGCTATAATGTTTTTGAGTCACTTCAAGGTCCAATATAAATCATCTACTTAAACCTAGTCCCAGTGCGCTTTCTCGTTTTCTTTTACTTATGACAATAGTTAATAATTGATGGCTCTGCAGTTGATATGTAGGGCATTTCATCTCCTCCAGCGGTTCTCCATAAGACTGGCTTTTGCTTCAGTGCAGAACATCTTCTCAACGGTAATGAACATGAATTAACTAATGCTCTTTTTTTGTTTTGTTTTTTTCTCTCTCTCTCTTCTGTTTAATAATTAGTCTTAATGAACCACCGCTTATGACTGGCTGTTATGAGCCCAACTTGAAACTCAGGCAGGCTGAGCGACTGTTTGAGGAGCGACTCGTTGGCCCAGAATCCCTTGCCAATATTGGAGGTCAGTATTTACAACACAATGCAGGCAACCGTTGAACTTTCACCTAGTTTATCCCAGCTGCTTGACACTCTGGGATAGACTCCGCTTGTGCTGCCAAAACAACTGAAGTTATGTATGATAAGGTATTATTTTATTGGATGTAATATAATAACAGCTATGTAACAAATTTATAACTCATTCCAGGATTGCAGGTACAGTTAAAGTCAAAATCAACTGTCGAAATCAACCTCCTGTGATTTATTTACTTCTTTCAAGTATTTCACAAATGATGTTTTACTTGCCTAGTTAACCTAGTTTAGCCTTTAACCACTTAAACTCTGTACCGGGTCCGTGACGTCATCGACTTTCGCTTTCAGATTTAAAGGGCTAGCGTTGCACCAGACCCCCGTAAGTGGTGTCGTTTGAAAGTGTAGAATCTATATTTTATGCACATATGCATCACTTTAGTTTTTATTATACTGTATAAAAGTTATTTACACTTAAATACACAGTATTTTGGAGACCCAAGCTAGGTATTTTACATTGGTTCATTTTCATATATTTTCATATGACACATGTACAAGTTATAGCTCAAATGAAAGCTCTTGCCAGTGCTCATACAGTTCTAGCATTCTTTATACTGAATTATATTCACATGCCAAACAGTTGTTGAATGAATTGTGGTGTTTCCATGGCGCAGAAATGTAAACAATACATTCATGATCAATAAGCAGCCCCAGATAGCACAGACAGCTGTCATCTCTTACCTTATGCTGTGCGCTTCAGGGCCATTCTCCTCTGTTTTTGAGGTGATGTGCATAAGGAATCCTTTTATATGTCTGATGTGGTCCAAACACAGTGAAATATGTTTGATCAAACAAAAGAATAGTGAAATAAGAAAACAATGATCGCTCCCTGTGGCTTGTATGGCACCTCTCATCAGTTGAGATAATAACAATAACTTTTGCATAGATTATGGTAGAGGCATTTTTCTTTTTTTCCTATGATTACAGACATGTGCAGGAACCACCTAAATTAATTACAGCACGCTAGACCACACAGAACCTAAAAGGTACACTTTCAAATTTAGGTTTATAAAAAAAAAATACAAAAAGCGCCTCATTTTTTAGGTGTTTATTATAACACAGACAACATATACAGTTATTTTAAACACTTTCAACAGTGTTTTATGAAAATTCAAAGGGTTTTCTTTAAAATGATACCAAATTTTTGCATTTACACCTCTGCATGTTGATTTGGGAAGCTTTTAAATTTGGGTTGGCAAAATCCAGGCGGAAATCCCCAAATAGCAGCAGAGTTTAACTGGTTAAGTTACCTTTTTTTAAGCTGAATACTAGTGTCTTTAAAAAAATCTAGAAAAATATTATGTACTGTCGTCATGGTAAAGATAAAGGAAATCAGTTATTAGAATTGAGAAACTATTATGTTTAGAAATGTGTTGAAAAATCCTTTCCTGTAAACAGAATTTGCGGAAAAAAAATATACAGGGGGCTAATAATTCTGACTTCATCTGTACTTTTCAAGCATTTCCTATTAATTTTTCTTAAACTGGAATGACATAACAAAGAGTACTGAATCCATTATTAATGGAAAAATGATGCTTAATGCTTAAATGTGATGGAAACATTTGGCTCTGTTACTACTTGTAGTTAAATTTTGTTAAACTGGTCCCACTTTATATTAAGTGTCCTTAACTACTATGTACTTGCATCAAAAATTAAATACAATGTACTTACTGTGTTTATAATGTATTTGAGAACACTTGTGGTGCTTTTGAGTTGGGATAGAGGTTGGGTTATGGACAGGTTTGGTGGCATGGGTAGGTTTAAGGGTGGGTTAAAGTGTAAGGGATGGTCAACAGTGTATTTACAAATGTAATAACCTAAGTTAATTACAGATGTAATTACATACATGGATTTAATCAAGCATAAGTACACAGTAAATACATGTATTTACACAATAAGTACGTTTTAACAAACTATTAAATCCTGTGTAAGTACATATTAGTTAAGGCCACTTAATATAAAGTGGGATCGTTAAACTTCTTACACCAACAACAGAGTTGATGAATATCAGGGTTGACGAATAACAGAGTTAACATATAGCAGGGTAGAGGAATAATAGGGTTGATGAAAACCAGGGTTAACATATAACAGGGTTGATGAATAACAGGGTTGAGGAATAAAAGGGTTGATGAAAAGCCGGGTAGACGAAAACCAGAAAACCAGTTTGAGGAATAACAGGGTTGAGGAATAACAGAGATGAGGGATAACAGAATTGACACTTTGCTTTAATGACAGTCTGTAAATGTCTCTGATTTTTATTGTTGTTGGTTTTTTTCTTTTTTTTCTTGTTTTTTAGATGTTTTCTACACTGGGACGGCTGATGGAAAGATAGTCAAAATAGAGGGAAGGAACATTCATGTATTAGCAACAATTGGCAAGCCACCATGTGGTAAGGAATCCAAGAATTCTGGACTGTTTCCTCAAACATTGTGTTGGGTATGTCAACAATAGTGAACTTTGTTGTTTGCTTGGGTTTGTTGCACAAGGCCACAAGTCTTTGCAAAATTCTCCATAATTGTTTTAACATTAATGTAATCAATAAACCTCCAGATAGATATCATTACAATTATTGTTTTTTTTCTAAATAATTTGTATATTTTTATTTATATATTCATTTCCCAAGTGATGTTTAACAGACCAATAAACGTTTATCACAGTATTTACTATTATATTTTTAAGTATCATTTTTTAAATTTGGTTAGAAAAATCACAGTTATTATTATTATTATTATTGTTTTGTTATTTAAGGTTAATATTATTAGCCTGAATTGCCTAGTTAACCTAACTAACCCAGTTAAGCCTTTAAATTGCACTTTAAGGGTGCTTTCACATATGCCTTATTTAGTTCGGTTGAATCACATCAGAGTTCGTTTTCCCTCTTGGTCCGGTTCGTTTGGGCAGGTGTGGGTGTCGCAATCACACTTGAGTGCTCACCAAAAGGGGACCAAGAAAGTGTATCGAGACCTCCTTGAAGAGGTGGTCTCGGTATGCTTTCAAATGAACCCTGAAGTGGTTAATTTGTGGTGAGAACATGATCTGAACTAGAACAAACGCAAAAAGTACTGCGTCTTTTTGGAATAATCCAGCTGCAGGAGTCCGATGCGCTGTGCATCATGGGATGTGAAGGAGAAATATTTGTTGACAGTGCTTTACCAACAATTTTAAACAGAGAGAGAGAAAGAGACGGAAAAACATTACCTGATGGATCGTTGGTAATATTTCCGGTAGATGACTATGTTGCAGTTTAGCTAAATTAATTCACGCCTCCTCCTGAAGTGACTGAAGTGATGTTCCTTTGTCGTTTGCAGTGTGTTTTCCAGCCGCATCTGCACTTTATTCTCGAAATGTAGCGTTTGTCTAAAGTGACTTTACTATAAAAATATATAGTGTACTATGAGCAGGGATGCAATCAGCCAGCGCAGTCACCCCTTAAAAGCCACATTTTGTGTCTGCAGGTTTGTTTATTTGCGCTAGTTACATTGACATTTTCCCGCATGTTAATTCTGACCAATCAAAAAGCAGTTTAGGATGTACATTCAATAACATCTGGCCAATGAGTGATGTGGATTTTGTCACATGACACATGACACATTTTGGTTCTTTTCAAATGGTTCTGACCAAAACAGTCAGTGTGGTGTGAAAAGGACCCAAAACGGCAGAAAAAGGCTACAACGTATCGTTTGTTGCCTTCGGTCCTGACCAAATAAACCGAACCACAGATGTGAAAGCACCATAAGCTGAATACTAGTATCTTGCTAAATAACTAGTAAATTATTATGTACTGTAATAATAGCAGAGATCAAAGACATTAGTTATTAAAAATGAGCTATTGAAACTATTATGTTGGGGACGCAGTGGTGCAGTAGGTAGTGCTGTCGCCTCACAGCAAAAAGGTCACTGGTTCGAGCCTCGGCTGGGTCGCCTCACAGCAAGAAGGTCGCTGGTTCGAGCCTAGGCTGGGTCAGTTGGTGTTTCTGTGTGGAGTTTGCATGTTCTCCCTGCGTTCGCGTGGGTTTCCTCTGGGTGCTCCGGTTTCGCCCACAATCCAAAGACATGCGGTACAGGTGAATTGAGTAAGCCAAATTGTCTGTAGTGCATGAGTGTTTGTGAATGAGTGTGTGGATGTTTCCCAGAGATGGGTTGCAGCTGGAAGGGCATCCGCTGCGTAAAAACCTGCTGGATAAGTTGGTGGTTCATTCCACTGTGGTGACCCCGGATTAATAAAGGGACTAAGCCGAAAAAGAATGAATGAATGAACTATTATGTTTAAAAATGTGTCAAAAAAAAAAACTTCTCTATTAAATACATTTCACTACGTATAATTTTAACAAAATACAGATTTATTCTTATTTAGCACTGAGATAAGCGATTTTCACGTGTGTTTACATATATTTGCCAAATTATAGACCAAATTATTAATGAAATGAATAAAAATGACCGTGTTTGTTTAAACGTTTACATAAGCTTGATGCCTAATACAGTGAGCCACTTGCTGAGCTGTTAAAATGTCCAGGCTACTGCATATTTGAACTCTTTCCAACAGTGATCTTTCCACACTGAGGACAGTTGAGGGGGTCAAACACAACTACTACAAAAGGTGAAAACGTTTCACAAAGTTCAAATGTCTTTTAATGCAGCATGTTTTTGCTTTAACCTTCCGAAAATGTGTTCACCTTTTGTAAACCAGTACTTGTGTTTGAGTCTTTCAGATGTCCTCAGTTTGATGAATTTCAAAATCATATAGTCACTGCTGGAAATGGTTTCAATATGCACAAGATGCTGTAATATCAAATAGTGTGCATGATCTGGAAAAAAAATTTAGTATTTAGGAGAGTTGTCTATAAATAAATTAATAAATTAATGAATATATTTTTATACTTAATTAGTTTGTCTTTTGAATTCATTTAGTTTCATTTATCATGTGTGTCCATGCATTGTAAGTTAATAAAGACCTACACGTGTACATTTATTTATTTATTTATGTATTTATTTATTTATTTATTTATTTATTTGTTTGTTTGTTTGTTTGTTTGTTTATTTATTTATTTTATTATTGTTATTTTTTATATAAACCTTACTGACAATACTTCTAGTATTATGATGATTACATGTATCTTGTTTGATTTGTTTAATGTACATTCTGTAATATAATGTTAAATCTGCATATAAAGATGTTTGAAAATGCTTATGTATGCATTACTCCCTCAGCTTGGCCATGCTGTAAACTGCTGACACGGTTAAAACAAACATAAAATGTGCTCAGAATTTTAAACTGTTGCCTACTTAAAGCAATTTGTTCCTACCTAAAGCAAGTTGTGGAATACTTGAGCTACTGTGATCATGGTTTCTGCAGCGTCTTAAAATGTCTTAAAAACTAAAATGAAGGCCTTAAAAAGTCTTAAATCAGGATTCATACGGTCATGGAAAACCTGGAAAAGTCATTGAATTTTGACACGGCATTTTGCAGTGCTGGAAAAGTTTTGGAAAAACTGAAAAACCCACAAAGTTTTGGAAAAGTCATGAAAATTAGTTTTACTAATATCTGTAAACTTGAAAATGAGTTAGTTGTCTTTACTTCTTTTCTGTCTTCAGCCAAAAAAAGATATGCTGTAATACATTTAAATATGCAATTTTAATTATTATTTACCATGTATACATAGACATTACATTAAATATTAAGTCATGAAAAATTACTTGAATGTCCTGGAAAAGTCATGGAAAAATCATGGAATTTTAGTAGTAAAAATGTGTATGAATTTACTGAAATCATGTCTTGTAGGTCCTAAATTGTTAAACAGGTCAGGTCTTAATTTTCAGATGTCCATGCAAAGCTACCCAACCCATCACCAACAATTCATCTAAAAACTTTGAACAAAGCTCTATAACTCTATGTAGCAATATATTTAGGTTCTTTATTTATTTTATTTTTATTTATTTTTTTGAAGAAGATGAAGCAAAGTTAGGTTGAGAAGAATGTGTATGTATATAACTAGGGTTTGATTTGTTTTGACACATTATTTAAAATATGTGGCTAAGAAATAACTAATTAGAAAGTGTTGAGGGGGCTGGTAAATATGATTCAAAAATAATAATATTTTTGTGGGACCAGCCAGACTATTAGACAAAACTCTTAGTGTTTAGTCCTGTATAAGTCTGACATTTCATTCATAATGATCTTAAAAGGTCCTAAATTTGACTTTGTTAAACCTGCAGAAACCCTGTTGATTAGATAAACAGTTAAAAGCTAATTTATTAGTGAATGTTCTTTTTTTTTCATATATTGATGTTTAACAGAGTAAGGAAATGCTAATATTATTTAAACTTTCTGGAGAAAGTCTTATTTAGTTAAGTTTGGCTGGAATAATAGCAGTTTTTAGGTGAAAATTATTGGCCCTCTTAAAATGTATTTATTTATTTTTTGATTGATACAGAAAAAAAGCACTTGACTTTCCTAATTAACCTAATTAAATAGGTTTTAAATTGCACTTTAAAGGGGTCCTATTATGCCCCTTTTTACAAGATGTAAAATAAGTCTCTGATGTCTCTATATTGTGTGTGTGTGTGTGTGTGTGTGTGTGTGTGTGTGTGTGTGTGTGTGTGTGTGTGTGTGTGTGTGTGTGTGTGTGTGTGTGTGTGTGTGTGTGTGTGTGTGTGTGTGTGTGTGTGTGTGTGTGTGTGTGTGTGCCTTTTTCAGGCTTTGATCCTAATTGTGCCATTTTGATGTCTGTCGCTTTAAATTCAAATGAGATTTTACTCTTTTTCAATAGAGGAGACAAATACAAATGCCTGTGTGTCAGCATAGTGGCAGATTCAAAAGCAAGACTAATGTGATATGCTAATGAGGGAGAGATGGGCGGGGATTTCCTCTTCTGATGACCTGTACAAAGGGAGAATGTGTGTTCCTGCAGACTATTTTTATCAAGTGTGATTATAAAAAATGCAATTAATATATTTTTTTACCATTAGAAGCTGGTTATTTTCACACACTGTTGCCACACAGCTGTGTTTAAACCCCTGATTAAAGTAAATTTTGCATAATAGGTTCTGTTTCAGCAGAATACTAGCAAAATAGCTAGTAAAATATAATTTTCTTAATGGAGTCATCATGCCAAAGACAAAAAAAAATGTTGTATTAAAACTATTATGTTTAAAAATGTCGTTAAAAATCTTGTCTTCATCTATTCAGCAGTACATGGGAAATATAAAACATTATTGATATTAATAGTTTTGACTTAAACTGGGTTTGTGATGATCCAATGCTGTTTTCTTAAGTGTTGAGCATCAGGGTTTGTTTTCTGATTCGCAGGCTCTCGAGAGCACGAGCACACATGCGGACGTCCTCTGGGAATCCGAGTGGGACCCAACGGAACCTTGTTTGTAGCTGATGCTTATTTGGGACTGTTTGAGGTCAATCCTGTCACAGGTACAGAAGAGAATCCACATACTCAAATAGAAAAAGTCTTTAAAAAAAAAAAGATAGTTTGTCGTTGTTCATGTGTTTATTAAACTCGTACAAAAATAGCAGCGGAGTGGCACAGTGTCCAAGTGGGTAGCACTGTTGCCTCACAGCAAAAAGGTCGCTGGTTCAAGTCTCTCCTGGACCAGTTAGCATTTCTGTGTGGAGTTTGCATGTTCTGCCTGTTTTCCAGATGCTCCGGTTTCCCCCACACTCCAAAGACATGTGCTATATGTGAATTGGGTAAAGAAATTTGCCCATAGTGTATGTGTGTGAGTGAGAGTGTGTATGAGTGTTTCCCAGTACTGGGTTGCGGCTGGAAGGGCATCCGCTGTTTGAAACATATGCTGGATAAGTTGGCGGTTCATTTCGCTGTGGCGACCTCTAATAAATAAGGGATTAAGCTGAAGGAAAATGACTGAATGAATAAATAGCAGGATAAATGTAAGAAAATAAATATTTTTCCGAGCCCTTCACCCAAAATAAATGGAAATTACAATTACACACATAATAAAGGGCTGTAGTTACAGTGTCAATTGTGTATAAAATATAAGTTGGTTTGTTAAAAGTTTAGAAATAACCCATGTACAACATGCATATGTACATAAAAATTGATGAATGAACAATCCACAACAGCTTATATTCAGTTAGAGGGCTTCATTCAGGTGCTGGAAATCTTTGAAAGTGCGTGAATTTTAATTTAGTTTTCAAGGTTGAAAAGTGCTTCAATTTTGGTTAAAGTGCTTGAAAATGTCTTTGTTGTTTTCATAATAATGCATCTTACTAAATAGTAATAATCAGTGTTGGGGGTAACGCATTACAGGTAGTGATGGGTCGTTCATGAACGATTCGTTCATTTTGAATGAATCTTCAATATGACTCTGGAACTACGAGTCCTCAGGGAGTGATCCCCTTCGGTCGACAACCAAACTCGGACACTCAGTTGAGAGTATATGAATAGATTTATTATAGAAAAAAGTAGTAAATATATATATGAGCATCTCTTCAGGTTGGTCACAGGCCAAAATAACAAACAGAAGAATCTATAAAGTAAATGCACTAAATTACGTATTCATTTGTACAGAAAAACACTGGAAGCTTACCTTTCTCCCTAAACATAAGCATAGTCAAAAGTAATCAAATAAATAGGCAGGCCACCCCTACAAGCTTAAACTCTCAAAAGTAAGTTAAACATATAAACAAAGGTAACAAGTTAGAAAGTTGGTCGTCGGCCTGAGGGCTATTGGGGAAATCCAGGAGCTCCACTCCCAGCACTGAACGCAGCACAAATGAGCTCCCCGAACCCTGCCGGAAGCCCCTTTTTTTATACAGGCCTCCGAGACCAGCAGCCAATCAGAACACAAGCTCTCGCCAAAATGGGAGCCTATGGGATAACAGAAAAAACAACAAGAAGGCGGGACAAAGAAAAAGACATGCAATACGCAATAATAAATAAATAAACTTCAGTCGTAACAGAGGTTGAATGACTTTTGTCCTGGGAGCACTGAACAAATGTGGCGGCGCTATTGACGCATGCTCAGGGTCTGTATGTGACATCTAGTGTATATATCGATGGTTAGTCTTAAAGTGAACTCTGTACCAGTTAATCCACTGAAAAAAACAACAACTTATGCTCCAAATCCTACATGTAGTTATTAATAGTTATATATACATGTAGTTATATATAGTTCTTTTATTTCCATAGAACAGAAATGCAGGAATTGATGCATCTTCATACCACATTCTTTTAAAAGTGGTCACATCTGGCAGGCTCCAAAAAAAAAAAAAGCACGCTGTTTCTGTTTTTTTTTTTTTTTTTGTATTCAGGTGAGGTGAAATCTCTGGTGAGCACGGAGAAGAGGATCGCCGGTCGACGTCTGGGCTTTGTGAACGATCTGGATGTGACTCAGGATGGGAAAAAGGTGTACTTCACTGACTCCAGCAGCAGGTGGCAGCGCAGAGACTTCATGCACCTCATCATGGAGGCCACAGCAGATGGACGGTAACTGGGTCATGACCAATTCCTGTGCATTTCATGGCTTTTTGCACTTTTGTTGTGCATTTTGGCATCTGATTATTTTCATTGGAAATGCTGTAATAGTAGAGTATTTAATGTTTCTCGTGTGGTTGTTTCAGAGTGCTTGAGTATGACACGGAGACTAAGGAAGTTAATGTGATGATGGAGAACCTCAGGTTTCCTAACGGCATCCAGCTCTTCCCTGATGAGGAGTCTGTTCTGGTGGCTGAAACCACAATGGCAAGAATCAAGAGGTGATGCTCACTGTAGTGTTTACTTGTAGTTGAAGTCAGAATTATTAGCCCCCCTGTATATGCCTTTATCCATAGAATAAAACAAAACAATAAATGGGTATTTATTTAATATATTATTTAAAAAAAAAAAACATTTTACAGACAGAAAAGAAATTGAAGGAAAAGCTAAATATTTGAACATATATATATATATATATATATATATATATATATATATATATATATATATATATAATGCTAGAGAAAAAAAGCATTTTCCTCAAAAATCTTGCTATCTGTCATTTTACAAAATAAAATCTAATAAGATCTATTTACAATTGCATACAAGACTTTTTTATAATAATATCAATTAAATCATTTTTACAGTATACTAAGTTACAGTGGAAGTACACTTTTGATTGTTTAAAAACAATTGCAAGGTGATTTATTTCCCTATTATTTTTATTTGTTTATTTTTCAACATGAACATACATGCAGAGCTTTATTCATTTCATATAAATGACTCGCGCTAGACTAGTGGGTTTCATTTTATTGCTTTTATTTGCGACAGACTGCTGCAGCTGGTCGACTATAAGTGCTCTAAGCAAGTAGTCATAGTGTTGATGTGGTTGATATTTACGGTACCTAATAATAAATGGCTTTTTTTTTAAATTTACAGCTGGGTTATGTAATTTATTTGGAAACTGCAACATTAAATTCAAACATTAGATCGTCAACAATTTCTTTTATATGCATGTCATGACCGTTATTGTCTTATCCGTTATTTCTTATCGTGAGAAGTACAGGGTGTGGCGTTCAGGTTCAAATGCACATGTCTGACAGTGAATGTGTGATTGAGAGTGAATGTGTGTTTACGTGACTGCATATTTAATCTCTTCCCAGAGTTCACGTGTCTGGTCTCAATAAAGGAGGAATGGATACATTTATAGAGAACCTGCCGGGTTTTCCTGACAACATTCGGCGCAGTTCTTCAGGTGGATACTGGGTGGCCATGTCTGCTGTGCGGCCAAACCCAGGCTTCTCCATGCTGGACTTCCTTTCTCAAAGACCCTGGCTGAAGAAACTCATCTTTAAGGTGAGCTATCTCTGTCTCTTAAAGGCTACTATTTTACCACCTTTTAAAAGATGTAAGTCTTTGGTGTCTCCAGAATGTTTCCTGTTAATTTTCAGCTCACAATACCCATCAGATTATTTACTAAACAATGCAGAAAACTCACTTTCAGGAGACTCATTCTGAATGATTCATTTGAAATTGGTGATTTGTTGACTCACTAATTTAATCATTTGAATCCGTGAGTTGTATACTGGAGACTCACTTTGAATAAATCATTTGAATCAGTGAGTTGTATACTAGAGATTCACTCTGAATGGATCATTTGAATCAGAGAGTTGTTTACAGGAGACTCAGTCTGAATGAATAATTTGAATCAGCAAGTTTTTTTACTGGAGATTCACATTGAATGGATAATTTGAATCAGTGAGTTGTTTACAGGAGACTCAGTCTGAATGAATAATTTGAATCAGCAAGGTTTTTTTTTTTTACTAGAGATTCACATTGAATGGATCATTTGAATCAGTGAGTTCTTTACAGGAGACTCAATCTGAATGAATAATTTGAATCAGCAAGTTTTTTTTTTTACTGGAGATTCACATTGAATGGATCATTTGAATCAGTGAGTTGTTTACAGGAGACTCAGTCTGAATGAATAATTTGAATCAGCAAGGTTTTTTTTTTTTACTAGAGATTCACATTGAATGGATCATTTGAATCAGTGAGTTGTTTACAGGAGACTCAATCTGAATGGATCATTTAAATCAGTGAGTTGTTTACAGGAGACTCAGTCTGAATGGATACCTAGAAAAAACGTTGAATCAGCAAGGTTTTTTACTGGAGATTCACCCTGAATGAATCATTGCAATCAGTGAGTTTTTTTACTGGAGATTTACTCTGAATGGATCATTTGAATCAGGGAGATGTTTAACTGGAGATTTATTCTTAATGAATCATTTGAATCAGTGAGTTTTTTTAACTGGAGACTTGCTCTGAATAAATCATATGAATCAGTGAGTTGTTTACAGGAGACTCGGTCTGAATAGATCATTTGAATTGGTAAGGTTTGTTTTACTGGAGAGTCACTCTGAATGAATCTCACAAAAACTCAGGACAAACTTCAGTCAGGAAACTCTTTTGAAGTTTTTGGTTTCTGGATGTTTTTCTGTGTGTTTCAGCTCTTCAGTCAGGACATTGTTGTAGTTTAATCTTGTTGTCGATTTCTGGATGTTTTTATGTGTGTTTCAGCTCTTCAGTCAAGACACTCTGTTGAAGTTCGTGCCGCGTTACAGTCTGGTGGTGGAGCTGCAGGGCGACGGCACGTGCGTGCGCAGTTTCCACGATCCTCAGGGCCTGGTTTCAGCCTACAGCAGCGAGGCTCACGAGTACAGCGGACACCTCTACCTGGGCTCCTTCCGCTCGCCGTATCTCTGCAAGCTGGATCTGAGCAAAGTGTGAAACTCCACAGATGCTCCGCTGCTTTCACCGTGGCTTCCAGACGAACAGATTTTCAAGCAATTAACGCTGGCAAGGCATCAACAAAAACACTTATCAACTTCTTCCAGATTACAGTTAACAAACGAACAAACACAGTCCTTTCATTTGATCCCCGTATTCTTCCTTTAGCTCCGACAGATGCCTGTTTTTTGTTTTTCATTAATCTGCGTGGGTGATTTTTCCTTTTTTAGAGCCGAGCGACGTATAATGAGCTCTCAGACAGGCTGTTTTTAAATTAAAAGACGTGCCATTACTATTTTCGTTTCTCGGTGCGGTTTCTGGGCTCGTTTTATCTGCACCGACCTTAATATAGAGCTGCCAACTGGTTTCCTTGAAGATGCTGAGCACGTCGGCAGAATAGAGATGTTGTTTAGGGGAAGTGAAAGGACATTTCGGGTTCATTATGAATCTCTGAAACGCACAGCCATAGCTATTTCTGGTGTGGTTATTTTTAATCGAGTGGTTGAAAGTATTAATTCATCATTATTTGTATATGTTGCCGTGTCACTCTTGCCTGATAAACAATGCTGGCTTTACAGTATTTAGCACACCTTAGTTTTTCTCCCATTCATATTTCATTAAGTGTCCATAAGAATTATCAGCAATAACGTCATTAAATCAGTGGTTCTCAAATGGTAGGTCGCACAGCGGGAACAACAGAATTACCTGAGTAGGAAGTCAAAATATTACATATATATTTTAAATTTTGCATTCCAGTAGTTAAAGAGTAAAGCATGAAGATTGGCTGGGTTTGATTCCCATGCAATGCATGAGTTGTGAAATGGAGACACTGAACATGTAACTTTAAATTAAATCTTCAAACCAAAGTCATGTTGATGTCTAAGATTGTTTAAGGTTGATGCTAATTGGATTAAAGAAAAAAAGACTCTTAAATTATATCTACACTAAAATACTTACTTTTGCTGCTTATTCCAACTAATTTCTTAAAATCGTCACAATTCTTGTTTTTTTTCTAGACAACTTCAATGTTTTATGTTCAATCCACTTAGATTTGATAAAACCAATCGAGTCAACTTATTCGATTTGTGTTGGGACAACAGGAAGTGGAGGGCAGAATTTTTTACAGTGTATGTCAATATAGATGTAACATATGCATAACTGAGGGGCAGTTTACACTGATGGAATCTAAAAATAAAACCTGTTGTTGGTCATTTGTTTACATTCCAACAGCGTTTTTAAGGCCCTTTTCAAATCAATAACATCATAGTTATGCAAATTACAAAAACGTGAAAAAAAAGAGAAAGATATTCATGTGCGAGTGCAAAAACCTAAACAAAAACAGAGGACTACAGATGCATATAATTGTAGTTTATACAGAGAATATCACCAAAAACTTGTACTTTCAAACCCATGTTCACAAATCTGCATTTTCATTTTCACAAATTTGTCAAAAAGCTTTTAGATTGTTACTGAAACGTATAAATGTTTCTACAGTAAGTACATTGTAAATGTGTTAACACACACACACATATATATACATATATATATATATATATATATATATATATTTGTATTTATATATATTTATATATATCTATATTGAATGTAACTGTTTTCATTTTTATTGAGTAATCTACTGCAGAATATTTCTTGCTAATTGAAATAAGCGTTGTTGTTTACCAACCAAGTTTCAAAGTGCTTTACATAAACAGGAAAAAAAAGAGACAAGTATAAGAAAATAACAACAAATAATAAAAACGGCTTATAAAAGAATGAAAAAGAAAAAGAAAGACAATAATGTGATTTTGGTACTAAGCACAGTGTTCATTCAGTAAAGGCACAGCTTAACGGATGTGTTTTTAGTCTTGATTTTTAACTTAAATGTTGGAGCACATCTGATCATCTCTGGAAGCTGATTCCAGCAGTGAGTGGCGCAGTAGCTGAAAGCCAATTCATCCTGCTTTGACTGAACTTTTGGAATTTCTAATTTATATAATCCTAAAGATCTGAGTGATCTGTTAAGTTTGCATTCAGTGAGCATATCTGTAATGTATTGAAGTCCTAGGCCTTTTAGTGATTTATAGACCAGTATAAATACTTTAAAAATGTATTCTGAATGTAACTGGAAGCCAGTGTAAGGGCCTGAGGACAGGTGTGATGTGCTCTGATTTCCTGGTTCTAGTCAGAATCCTGGCAGCAGCGTTCTGGATGAGCTGTAGCTGGGAAGGCCAGTGAGGAGGCCGTTAAAGTTATCCACCCTACTGCTGATAAAAGCATAAACAAGTTTCACTGGAAACTAAGCATCAGAATTTGCAATGTTTTTGAGATGATAGTATGCTGATTTACTAACTGCTTTGACATGACTACTGAAACTCAGATCTGACTCTAGAATTGCACCAAGATTCTTGACCTTTTCTTGACCCCTAGAGCCAAGGTTCACATTGACCTTGAGAACCTCATCTCTCTTTAAGTTAACTTAACATAAAGTGGATTGAAAATAAAACAATTAAGTTGAAGGAAAAAAAAAGTCAAGAATTGTGTTTGTTAATTTTAAGTGAAGTTTCACAAACTAATTTTGAGGATCATGTGATATGATTGATCGCAGCTGGTCTCATTTGTAATCATTAGTAAGCCAATTGGATCATTCCAAATTCACTATAAATAGACTAGCATTACTCCCTTATCTTGTTTGTTTGTTTGAAGAAACTCTCTTTTTCTCCTTTACCAGGGGAAGCTCTCGAGAACCACCTGGGGCCTCATGTACGAAGACTTGCATGGAAATCATACTAAAACATTTTGTCATACAGAAAAAAATTCAGATGTATGAAACACTGCGTACGCCGAATTTCATGCATATTCTTTTGTACATCCGAATGAACGTGAAACTAAGCGTAACATGCACGGGCAGAAAACCCCTCCCTGCCTCCTCCCCCATATGAATATGCTAATGACTCTACTTTGGCAAAACCCAACAAAAAAGCAACGGCAAAAGCAAGCAAAAAGAGAAACTTTGAACAGAATGTGAATTGGAGGTGCTGCTTTCGGAGGTAGACCGGAGAAAAGCGGTGTTATTTGCAGGTTTGTTCTCCGGAATTAACAACAAAAGAAAAAAATAGAATGGGAGAGTTTAGTTGACGCGGTTAACACAGTTGGGTCTGAACATCGCACTGAGTGAATTAGAAAAGAAATAGTGTGATTTATAGATGTAAAATAATGCAGTACCCGTATCAGTCTCAGTGGCGCAGCTCTTAAGACAAGTCAACATGTTTTGACACGTTCGAGCATGAACTCTTTCTTCTTTTTTTCCCCCGCTACATATCAGATTTTGCCAACTAATTATCACAAGAAAGACAAATAGGAATCATTAATAAGTTTGTGCATCATATTTTATTTGCACATTTATTGAATGGAAATGTTTCTGATTCACACATGCAAATTCATCTTCAGATAGTGTCTTTATAGCAATGTGCATGCGGTAGATCGCTCAGATTACATTGGGAAAACAGGAGACCGCTGCAAATTGTGCTTTAATGTTTGGCTGGTCAAATGTATGGTATGGAAACCTTATATACATGCTAGATGAACCCGTCTCATACAGCTGCCATTGCAAGGCTCAGACACTTTGTAGAGAGGAATTTAACATAACTGCCTCTAGGAGTCGCCAATGGAAATAAAACACACACGCACAAAAAAATGTGCCAGCCATAAAGCTGGCGTGGAGCTGCGCACATTCCCACGTTCAGTTCATTGTTAGTAAATCCAAACGTGAGCAATTCTGAGCGTGAAACCTGGCGTACGCAAAGTTTTTGTGCGTTGGCAGCGTTGATACATGAGGCCCCTTATCTCATACCCCCTTACAATTATCTTCGAGCTCAGAGTTCTCTCCCTGGTAAACCAGCTAAAAGCGTCAAGCAATATCTAAGTGTGAACTCTTGAAAATAAGTAGTTTGAACATTTCAGTTGACTTATTTTGTTTGTTTGCACAGAATAAAAAAGGTGCCATGTTTTTTTTTGTTTTGTTTTTTCTGACATGTTTATATTAATTTGTAGACATCAGAAGAGTTAGGAAATGCATATTAGATGGAACAACCCTGGCTTTTAGTCACAATGCATTAAAACATGAAGAGTTCAGATACAAAAACCATTAAGTGCCATCAGAAATTTTCTTCTAAAATGAGCATTTTTCCTCAGCGTCTTATTTTTATTTATTTATTTTTTTGTTGTTGAGATATTTTATTTGAAGGGCAGTTAAGAGAACTTAATATTTTTCTTAAAAGTAAAAATAAACCTACATAAGGAAGCAAGAGAAAAACACCAACATTTTTAAAGGAACTCTTCATTTGTTATTTTAACAAATTGACACGTCATGAGTGTGAATGAGGATTTATGCATGCCTATGAAAACTGTTATTAAGTGTCATTCGCTCTATTCTCATTAAAATGCATAGATGACCTTGTTTCTTATGACAACTTGACCTAAACAAATGCATCACGATCAGTCTTCATCTTTATCATGACAACTCGACATTACCAAGACAACATAACTTGTCATAAACATACTTCTCATGAGCCATTATAATTGTGTTATTTAATGAAAGTTGTTATAGTTGTGTTGTTTAATGAAATTTTGATAACAAATTCAGCTTGTACCATATAAATGAACAATATCACACTCAAAGCAGTGTGATATGGCTGTATATCGGCACCAGTGGGAGGTGTGCATTGGCTCGAGGCTGCAGTGCCTATATACAGCCATAATCGCACAGCTACTAGTGTGATGTTGCGTTTATAGAACAGTTTGGCGGCATAATAGTGTATATAAAACAGAAAATCAAACATGGAGAGTCTCAAAACCCTTTTGTAAGAACTACTTTCTCTGTTCATACACATCTGCAGCTGATGTCAGAACAGCAGAAATTGTTGCTACTTAAAAAAAAGCCTCAAAGTACAATATGTTGTCCAACAGCTGCAATATTTGTCAAACTGCAAAGCAGGGATCACCAATCTCAGCCCTGGAGGGTGGGTGTCCCTGCAGAGTTTAGCTCCAACTTGCCTCAACACACCTGCCTGAATGTTTTAAGGGTCCCACTTTATATTAAGTGTCCCTAACTACTATGTACTTGCATCAAAAATATAAATACAATGTATTTACTGTGTTTATAATGTATTTGAGAACACTTGTGGTGCTTTTGAGTTGGGATAGAGGTTGGGTTATGGAAAGGTTTGGTGGTATGGGTAGGTTTAAGCGTGGGTTAAGGTGTAAGGGATGGTCAACAGTGTATTTACAAAATGTAACTACAAAAGTTAATTACAGATGTAGTTACATACATGTATTTAATCAAGCCTAAGTACACAGTAAATACATGTATTTACATAATAAGTACATTGTAACAAACTTAATTCCTGTGTACGTACATATTAGTTAAGGCCACTTAATATAAAGTGGGACCGTTTTAAGTATACCTAGTAAGACCTTGATTAGCTTGTTCAGGTGCGTTTGATTAGGGTTGGAGCTATATATATTTATATTAATATATATTTATATTAATGACGCTGTTATAAAATCCATGACGTATTCATAAAGGCTTCATGACGATCATCCGTATGACAGATTATGACAAAGACAAAAACGGGTCTGTTCTTCGTACATGGATTACTAAATTAGCTGGATTTGATTATCGACGATTTGACATGATCCAGGATCATTTCGTTCTTCAAAACTGATCCGAGAGTTGTTGTCAGAGCAACAGTTCTGGTAGCTCAAACCTGCTCGGGAGCAGGCTCATTTTTATATAAACAGGATTAGATCGGCTTAGTTCAAGCAAAGATAATACTGAAAGTATGTACCGAATGCTGATATTTTCTTACAGTGGTAGTTATATACACATGAGACTATCGTAAATGTATGTTTTTAACTATATATATATATAAATATAAAGTTATGCAATCTGCACTCCAAAATAAAAGTTCAAAGACTACCACCTGGTGGTTCAAATGGAAAATGTATTAATATGAACTCTTTAGATCGCTTTAGTACAATTTGTGTATAATAGACATACACAACATGCGGCTTTTTAAAAAATAATAATACATATGCAGTCATGAACATGTTTTGACAGCTAAATTGACAGTGATTTAATGCTTCACAATAATTGCAGACACCTTTATCAACATCAAAATGCTTTTGTAAACATCCAGTTACTCTTTACACCGATTAAGAAACTGGCAACTGTAATACTACTGTAACTACTAATAAAGAAAATCTGCTCTGATTGTAAAACTAAATAAATTGCTAAATACTCTCGACACATGAAAGATTAAAGCCTCCAGCCCATAACAAATGTGTAAAGTTATTGCGCATCATATTTCACAAGCCGTTCACTGCTAATTTAATGTAATTTAGCTCACATGGATAAATGAATATTAATCAGATGATGTCATTAAGCTGCTGTGCCGTCAGCCAATCGTTGCATTGCTGATCATGATTTCGAGGATCGATAGATCTGTCCTTCACAACACACACAGCGATCTCAGATCAGTTCATACAGACATTCTAATCTGATTCACAAACTTGTTTGAAGAACCAAATAAGCCAGAGATCAGTTAGAAGATTAAAACATTCAGGATCTGCCAAATCTTAGATCATTTAAGCCATGTACGACCAACCGACCCCTGCGTCCGTTCTTCGTACGTGGATTACTCAGTTAGCTGGATTTGGATATTGACGATTTGACACGATCCAGGATCGTTTCGTTCTTCAAAGCAGATC